GGGATGAGCAGTGCCCCCACCCCACCCCCCGCCTGATGTCACGCCCCCATCGTGATAAATGAGAAGAGTCACTTCCATGGTGCTATCGCCAGGCAGCCATTGGAGCAAGGTTTGGCATCCCCATTAGGCAGGAAGTGAACATGTAAACGGTGCGGCTGCGGCTACCGGCTGAGGTGCAAAGGGGGGGCGGGGGGGGGGGAGGTGGGTCAATCGACATGGAGATGTGACAGGGGGTCGTGACCCGCTGCTTCTCCTTAGGGTCTCCATCACGGCTCCGTGATCTTAACCAGAAAGGACCTGCTGGACCTGCCAGAGGGTGGCTCAGGCGATGGGGCGCCAGACAGTGGAGGCTGCGGCCGCCCGCCAAGGGCCCAAGGACATTGGGACGCCGCGACGTGTGCGGCCAGTTCACTGCATTTAACATGCCGCGCAAATGCAGCTCACGTGACACTGCGTGTGCATTTGTCGCTGCACGTGTCAATCTAACACGAAGTCGACATCCCAACTGACCGGGTGTCACTTGTCTCACAATCACCCATTCCCTCTTTGTCTTTATGCACCCCCCCCCCCCCTGCCACTCAGCCGCCCTCCAGGGAATACGAAGCCTGTGATCTCTGGTCCAGACTTTACAACACGCAGTACTCAGCACTTACTGCATCACAGGGGAAGGCCAGAGGCGGGGGGTGGGGTAGGCAGGACGAGCGAAGGGCAAACGTGGGTGTAAGGGGATGGAGAAGGAGAAGCAGCACAGCAGCCGGAACAAAGTGACAGAGCCAGAGAAAGAAAACAAAAAAAGAAGGACCGGGGGGGGGGGGGGGGGCATAATGAGAAAGTGATGGAAATGAAAAGAAAAGGGGGGTGAAAGATGAAAGAGATAGAGGAGGAAGAAGGAGACTGATGAGTAAGTGGGGTATGAGTGGGGCTATCAGCCCTGATAGAGTCATGCTGAATGTTTATATCACGTGGGACTTCTGTGTGTGTGTGGGGGGGGGGCAGGGGGGCAGTAACCATACTGTGCATCAGAACTTCACAGGAAGAAGGGCCTGAAACGGACTGGCATTCTGCTGTCACACAGGCCTCAGAGAAAGAAAGAAAAAGGAATAAATGAAAATTAAAAGGAGAGCCAAGATTGATAGGGCAGTAGGGCAAACAGTGCGGTGGGGTTCAGTCTGTACCCACGGCCATCCGGGCCCAAGTGAGTCATACTCCCTAAATAGGAGTACAGTCTCCCTGAGCCAGCCATGGGCAGCTCCATTCCATCAAGAGTAAAGCGCCCACAGACAGTACCATACATTATCAATATGCAATTAAATCCTCCAATTAGTGCTGCTAGCTTTTAACCACAGACAAGACAAATACATAAATTATAGAAGGAATCAGGCACCTCCCCACAGTAGCCTGGTCAGTGCAAAATCAGTGAAAACCCAATGATGAATAAAAAGCCTTCCGATTACATGTCCAACTGGCCATTCTGAACACTGTAAACCAGAACGCTTGGTGGTGCTTCTGCGGCAGTCAGGAGTTAGGGTGGTACTGCCAATAAAACGCTCTTTAAAGCCGTGAAAATTGCCTGTGCTTATGATTGTCCCTGATAAAACATTTCTCCACAAATAACCCAATGGATCACATGTATGGTCTGTTACAGAGGCACATGGCATCTGATCTACAGAGCGCAGAACATCCTGTCTACAGGGCAAAGGACATCCTGTCTACAGGGCAAAGGACATCCTGTCTACAGGGCACAAGACATCCCATCCATAGAGCACAAAGCATCCCGTTTAAAGGATACTGGATAATCCATCTACAGAACATAAGCTATCCTGGCAATAGGGCACAGGACACGCTGTCTATGAGGCACAGGACACACTGTCTACAGGGTATAGGACACGCTGTCTATAAGGCATAGTACACACTGTCTTCAGGGCACAGGACATGCTGTCTACAGGGTACAGGACATGCTGTCTACAGGGCACAGGCAATGCTGTCTACGGGGCACAGGACACGCTGTCTACGGGGCACAGGACACGCTGTCTACGGGGCACAGGACACGGTGTCTACGGGGCACAGGACATGATGTCTACGGAGCACAGGACACGCTGTCTACGGGGCACAGGACACGCTGTCTACGGGGCACAGGACACGCTGTCTACAGGGCACAGGACACGCTGTCTACGGGGCACAGGACACGCTGTCTCCGGGGCACAGGACACGCTGTCTACGGGGCACAGGACACGCTGTCTACGGGGCACAGGACACGCTGTCTACAGATTGTTCACAAAACACGTCCTACGAAGTGAGAAAAGTTATAAGTAAGTCTTAACATTCATGTTTGAAATGGACGAAAAGAGGCAGGAAAAATAGGACACACATATTTAGGGCTCTCTCTCTTTCTTAAAAGCATGCTAGCTGGACAGCCACATCTCGAAATCAGGACAGAACGAGAGAGAGTATTGATAGAGGGAAGGCAAAAAAACAGAAAGGGAATATTATAACACAGGGGTCGGTGAGTGAGGAGAAGCAGCGCGTGACAGCGGAATGAGAGAGGCTGGGCGTCTTGAGGGGGCCTGCCCAACCGCACGTGTTTTTCAGAGAGCAGGAGAGTATCACAGCGGAACGGTGCTAGACCTCATTAACCGCCGCCGCAAAACAAGCCGGCCGGTGATGGATCGCATTTACAGATGGACAGGATCAGCTGGGCTGATTAAAACCCCGCTGACTGGGCGTTGCCAACGGTGACAGCTAGCCAAAACGACCCCCCATCCCTGCCTCAGGCGAGGTGACCCCGAAAAACAGCTCCCCTCTGAATTGAACTCGTAGCAGGGCTGGCCCCAGCCAAACCGTTTCATTACCCCCCCCCCCCACCACCAAATGGGAATATGTGCCAGACACAGGTCACATCCGTCAGCATTCAGGTCCGGTACATCTCATTCCTGACTGCCACGAAATCGCTCCAGGAATAAATTAATCACCTCAGTCACACCTCTGAGGGGCGGGCAGTTCTGAACTGATGAAGTGTTGCGTTACGCCGTGAACGCGGTGCAGGGGCTGCGTGGGGGTCCAACATGGAAACGGCGGGGCACTCCTGAGCGTTAAACTGCCTCTTGAGTTTTGTTGCGCCCTTCCACTGACATCATTGAGTGGTGGGATTAAAACAAACAAACACAAAACCCAGTGCCTGGTGCACAGGGGAGCACATGCAGATCTGCTCGCTGTCATGGGCGATCAGGTGCCGAAACACACTGCGCACAGAGAAACACAAAACACCGCACATATATGCTAAGGGACACTGTGCAGCTCAGAGGGTCAGGACTCCACACCTGTGATCGGAAGGTTGTCGGTTCAAATCCCCAGGTCGGCAGAGTGATTTCGGTGCTGGGTCTCTGAGCAAGACCCATAACCCGAGGGAAGTGGCTGAAACTGCTTTCTGAATTGTACAGTGAGTTGGATAAAAGTGCTGGCGAAATAGATAAATATTCAGTGGCCTCAAAAAATTATGCCACACACACTTCCCATCATGCCCCAGCACAGCCACCCCCCACAGGCACGCGCTTCCAGTGCCCTTCAGCGTTTTACAGAATAAATCGAAATCACGTTCCCCCCAGCAGGCCTCTCACAGCACAGCAGCACAACCCCCCCCCCAGCCACCAGATTAAAGGAGTGTGTCGCTCTCCTGCTCCTCCATCTCCGTCTCCATCTCCCCCTAATTAATCTGAGCCTCACCTGTGCCGCCTGCACCACCTTTCTGGCCCCATTTGTCTATCTCTGCTCTTGCCATCACGCTCGAATTCCTCCACACTTCCTGTCTCCTCCTCTCTCTCTTCCTCCCTGATCCATCACTGCCTCCCCTCCAAGTTGCGGTCAGCTTCTTCCTTCTTCACTCCCAGTCAGTCCATTTATCCCTCTCCATCGGTGGGAGAATGAGGAACCCCCCCCACCCCCCATACACCCAGGTTCTACGTGTGTAGATGTGCGAGCTGTTGCCATGCCAACCACGCCAGGAGTACTTGGCCTCGAGTCGGGGTAGGGTGGGGGTGGGGGGTAATAACAACTAGACGAGTGACTGAGGAGTGTGTCGCTCCTCCTGCACAACCTCCTCCTCGTCCTCCTCCCCTCCACGCTGCGTCTCCCTCACCTCCCATTTGTTTACCATTACCAGAACCCCATCAGCACATTACCCAGTTATGGTCTCGCTCTGGTGTTACTTGCGTGGCGGTGCAGGTAATCGGTTAAATGAAGAATGCGGAGCGTCTCCGTGATCCCGCCTGGATCTGGCATCCGGCAGCAGCAGACGTGATGCATACCGAGTTAATTCCGTCAAATTATTCCAGGCCGTTAACTACCTCAGTCAAAGTGGAGGCAATGTACCGTTTTGCTTGTGACCCCAGTCTGACGCCACCCCCCCATGTCAGCGTACGTACTCTGCCCCCCCCCATGTCAGCACTCTGTTCGTAGATGCAAATGGGAGTGAACTTTGCATATCCGGCCTCGGCTTTGGCTGTTCTTTGCTACCCAGGATGACTGGGCTAAAGGCTAGCAGAGTCCATATGAGTTATAAACCCTCAACCTGAAAGCCATCAGAAATGATCAGTAATTACGCACCAAGTGTACGTGGATATGTGCATGTGTGTGTGTGTGTGTGTGTGTGTGTGTGTGTTTAAGCCAGTAGGGACACTCTGAGTATGTGAGTGCAGGTGTGAATGCATGTTTCAGCCAGTAGGGGCACTCTGTGGTACGGAAAGTTGTTTGGTCTCGCAGTTTTGTTTGCAGAGGCAGGATGAAAAGGTGGCCCCCCGTCACTCAGCCAGCTCTCTCCGCCACGACATGACACTGAGGACAAGTTTCCGAGTCACTGCTCTGTGCCTCCTACTCATCACCCCCCCCCCCCCCACCCCTGTCACTCGTCCCTCTCTCGGCAATTCAGTCTGCAACTTCATCCAATGTCCTCCAGTCGTCTCCACGCCCGCTGGCCCCTCAATCGACCCCTCACGGAGCTGGCCTACCTTGGCCGCCATGATCATGGATGAGCCGCCACGGATGCCCAGGATGGGGATGTGCGTCTGGGCCGAGATGAAGTCCAGGATCTGGGCGATGGCCTCCTGGTCGGTATCGTCACCGAACACCACACCCTGTAGCCAGTGCTTGGTCATCAGATCGCAGATGCGCGTGATGATACTCTTGGGGTCCGTCTCATTCATGGTGACCAGCTCCACGTTGGGCGGCAGTGGCATGTGCTGGAAATCGTCCTTCTCGCGGCCCTCAGCCAGCGCCAGTTCGCTGGAGTTGCCCACCAGCACCACAGCAATGCTTTGGCCCTGCGCCAGCTTGTTGGGCGGTGGGGGGGGCGGTGCCACAGGGATGTAGTGCGGGCCGCCCCTCTCCTGTCCGCCGGGTCCGCCCTTGTCCCGCCGACACGTGCCTGGGGTGGCCAGTGACAGGACGTACAGGAAGAGGAGGAAGAAATGTGGGGAGAGATGCGGGGAGCCCCTGGGAAAGACACGACGGTCCTGGGAGGCAGAGGACGGACGACCGTGGCACGCAGGCATGACGGAGGAGTGGAGACGTAATCCCTGGGCACAGGGAACAGAAGGAAAGTTAGTGCAGAAGGAGCTGTGTGATCGGCGCTAATTAACCACAGCAGACACAGCAGCGCCTCCATCACACATGTTGGCACATAACAGAGCCGGAGAAACTGGGCCACTGCAGGGCGAGGTGATAGACAGGCGACCTGACGGGCAGACAGACAGATGGACAGCATGACAGACAGGCAAACTGACAGGCAGACAGACAGATGGACAGCATGACAGACAGGCAAACTGACAGGCAGACAGACAGATGGACAGCATGACAGACAGGCAAACTGACAGGCAATCAGAGAGACTGATGGACAGATTGACAGACAGGCAAACCAACAGGCAGACAAAGAGACTGATAGACGGATTGACAGACAGACTGATGGACAGAACTGCAGACAGACAAACTGACTGGCAGATAAATGGATGGGCAGACTGGCATACAGACTAAGAGACAGGCTGATGGGCAGTATGAAAGAGAAGTGGACAGTATGATGGACAGGAAAACTGACAAGCAGACAGACAGGCACACTGATGGGCAAATCGACAGGCAGACAGACAGACTGACAGCATTCGCATAAACACGCAAATGACGGGAAGCCGGAAAAAGCACAGATGATGCGACAACAAATGAGAGAAAGGAGGTAAAGGAGATGGAGGGGAGAGGATGAATAAGAACAGAGGATATATGATGGGAGATGGGGGGAAAAAGGGATTTTTATCGACTCTCTAAGGGACAGACCCATGGGCTGAGTGATGCACTGACAGGGCGACTCGGAGCAGCTCTGAGATTGATTAACTGACTATCAGACTGACAGACGGACAGATTCAGGGACTGACTGATAGACTGTCTGACCCTGCCTGCACACCCAACTCCGCTCTGCTGCACTCTTTCTCCCTCTCTCTGAATGACCACAAATCTCTAACTATTATTTATAGACCTTTCCATTAACAGTGATGCAGGAAGAGGGGGAGGGAAGAGGGGGAGTGAACGAAAGAAAGTGGGAGCGAAAGAGTACGCACAGCTTGTGTTCTGACAGGCATGTTTTGTGTGTGTATGTGTATGTACATGTGCATATATGTCTATGTGTGTTTCCGGCAGGGTTCCCAACATGTAACGCAGCGGGGAAAAGGGGGGATAGAGATGACAACATAGAAACGCACAATAAACACACCGCATGATGGAGTGAGAAAGACGGAAAGAGAGAGAGAATAGATAGGGACAGAAACATGGGGGTTGGAGAGAGCAGAAGGGCTTCTTTAAGATAACTAATTGCTAGAAGTTCGTCAGGGTTAATTACAGGTCCCTGTGTTAATTGTTAACTGCACACTCTTCCTAAGGGTGGAAAATGAGGTGGGAGTGTAAGTCCAAGGGGGGGGGGCTGTAACGAAGGGGTAGAAGGAAGAGGATGGAAAGCGGAACCAAGATGGAGATTCGGATTCAGGGAAGAGGGGGAATTAAAGACAGGGAGGGAGAATAAGAGAAAGACGTAAGAGAAGATCAGCAACAGATAGATGGAGCAGCAGGAAGAGGGCTGAGGAAAGAAGGGAGGTACAGGGCAAGAGAGAGATGGAGAGAGACAGAGAGAGATGGAGAGAGATGCTCCATTTGAATCTGTACTTCTCCAACAGCACTCAGTTTCCATAGCAACCGTTAAAATAGGCCCTCTCAGTGTAACAGTGATGATGGACACAGAGATACTCGCTGGTACCCCTCACGCACCAGCGTTCCCCGACACAAACAAATCTGGATGTCTCACCCGCTCATCCGCCCACCCACTGGAGGGCGCCAGTGAGCACCACACATGGGGAACGCGGGACCGGCTTCTCTTAGCAGAGCCGTTAACTGGGCACGTACGGCGCCCTCCCACCACTGGCACGCGTACGGGGAGGGGAGAGCCTCTCCTAACCTGCCTTGGGGGGGCGGGATGTGGCGACCGTGGCCAGATCCGTTTCACACGCCCGTGAGCTCCCTGGCAACCGGAATGGACCCCCTTAGCAGCAGAGTCTGGCCTGGGGCAAACAACAGGGAAGTTCAGCCTGAGCAGCTTCATTGTGAGGAATCAGGGATACACAGACAAGCAAAGCAGACAGGAGCAGTGTGGCTCTCCTCAGAGGGCTGGACAAGTGTGACTGTCCTCAAACGGGCCAAATAATACCGAAGGATGGAAAGGAGCAGGAAATATAGGTGCTCAGCTAGCAGCGGAGACGCTGCCTCAGCGAAACGCCGGACAGGTAAGGAGTGGCAGCTGGTCGCTCGGCATACCGGCACGTCTGATTCACAACCCGAACTTACCCGGGGATGGGGGTTACAATCTTATAAGCGTTTTCATGCAGCATTCAAAGTCCTCGTGTAAGATAGAGTACAGGAGGGGGTGTGCGCTAAAAGATGCTCATCGCAAGACGCTTCAATCCCGGCGTCGCCGGCGAATCGCCCCCCCCCCCCCCCCCCCCCCCCCCCAGCTTCTGAAGTGAATGGATTATGCGCGGAGCTCGCGACGGTGGCCGTCCCACAAAGCCAGCAATCTCTCCGGGATGCTCGCTGCCCTTAGAGGCCGCAGGGAGGACGCAAAACCAGGGCCAAGCGGCAGGGATAATTACATCACAGAGTCCTTTACCTCTCTGCCTTTTTTTAAGACGGTGTAAGTACCAGCCAAGCACCCAGGAGAACATTTCATGGTGAAAGCCTGAAATGTAAATATCCATCCATTCCTTTTCTGTAGCGACTATGTAGGGTGACAGGGGTTTGGAGCCTGCGGGAATAACCCAGGATGGGCGCCAACCCATCACAGGACACACTCACACCTATGGGCAATTTAGTAATTAATTAACCTCAGCATGTTCTTGGACTGTGGCGGGAAACTGGAGAACCCGGAGGAAACCCCACGACGACAGGGGGAGACCATGGAAACCACACACACATGGAACCCTGGCAGAGACTTGAACCCTGGTCCCAGGGGCCTGAGGCAACAGTGCCAACCACCGTGCCACCGTGCCACTGCACCACCCCAGACAGGTAAGCATAAGTAGCGTACATTGAATCCGCCACGGCAGGGTGACCGAAAGACAAGCCGGGGGGGTGGCCTTGGAGGTAGAGGGATGTTACAGAGAAGCCGCCCCATAGTTATGCCATCTGAGCTCGGGGGGGGGGGGGGGGGGAGTAGGAAGTAAACTCTGGGGTCCAGAATGAGTGTAGGTGCGGTAGCTTAAACAAGGAAGCAGGATCTATTCAGCATTCTTCATGCTGTCACTCTACACGCCGTCGTTAACTGCACAGCCCCTCCAGGCCACACGCCACATCCCAAACACTTCCTGCTCCGGCCCAGACAACGCTCACAGAATTCATTCAGCTCAGAATTCATTTACTCTTCTTCACCTTCCTCTTTTATTTTTGCCAAAAAAGACAACATATTCAATCACTGTCTCGCCTTGTGATAACTGGTTCATATCCAATACTGTCTAAAAAGGTCATTCGTTTGGTCCCATTAGGGCCTGGACACATGCCACTCCATTCATATACGGAGACCGAGCTTGACGAGCCAAGACATGACAAAGAAACCAAAATGACCGCTCGTGAACAGCCTTCCTCTAATCGCACGAAATGTGTTTTATTGACAGCTTTTCGCAGATTAGCACCGCGCTAATCTCTCCCGTTCGGTCCATCTCATTCCAAACTGTTATTTTTAGGACTCTGGCTCGGCCAGCCTGGGATTAACGGGTACATTTCAGCGCGAGAGGCAGTGCACGGGCTCCCGGAGTATGGACAGGAAGTAGTCGCCAGGACGCAAGCGGGAATTTACCGCGAACTCCGACCTCCTTGGCTGATAGCTAATCACAAGGACAGGGCCATCAGCGCTGCTGTCCGTGCTGCTCCCAGCAGCAAACATTAGAAAGCGGGCGGATAAGATGCCAACTTCTGCAGCGTCTGTGTTTCCCTCACAGACGGATGAGGGTTTATTCCCTCACAGACGGATGAGGGTTTACTCCTCTCTATGCTGCAGCAGAGGTACACAGTGGGTAAAAACTCAACAAAATCTGTGATGGAGATAATCGAATAACATAAAATCAGTGAATTGAAACTCTTGTAAAAATTCCGAAATTGTTATGATGCTCCATCCACTGAAATACAATAACCTGAATGTCACAGCAAACCAGAAACTACATTTTTTGAAAGTGCAAATGATTCTGAGGTTACTACACTGCAGAGAGGAAAAGGACTCGTCTTGGTATATTAGTAGCTCAGTATCCATTTGAAAAGGAGTGCTCCTTATTCATAAGTGAACAGCCATATTTACACAAAGGCCATCAGGCTTTGTTCATCTAAATGCCAAATAAATTATTGTGTTTTATTCGCTGGTCATATTTAATTCTCCATTTCTTCGATAAGCTATACTCCACCCATATTTAAAGGCAGGGGGCGCTCATGAGCACTTCCTCTGCGGTCTCTGCGAACCACATCCAGTCGGTGTGGCAGGACTGCCGTGTCTTTGCGCATACACTCTGGCTCCTGGCAGCAGGACCTGAACGCGATGGCGGCCCCCACCCCAAGGCACGCGTGGTGCCGTGTAGGACATGTCATTCGGTTTTTCCGGAGCACGTGTCTGACGAGCTCGCCAGCCCCATGACCCCGGGCGCCATCAGCAGAATTAATGTCCATTCCTTCCAGCGACACGCCTGACCTTACTGGCTGTGCGCTTCTCCTTCTGCTGTGTTCTTCACTAGAAAGCTCCACCCAGAAGCAGCGCTTCACTGCGGCACACGCTCTAAGCCCGTTTAGGGTGGAGGCCCCGGCGCCATCTGTGGCCGTGTTTAATGTCGCAGCAGAAAGCTCAGCCGACAGGCCCGCCCTGTGTATTCTGTCTATAGCGCTTTTCCGAGTGCTGAACTGAATGCACATAGTTCGCTAACAGGTGAATGGCAACACCGGTGTGGATTTCGGTGATGATGCAGACGGATCACCAGCTCTAACCTAACTTATGCGGTGGCCGTCGCCTGAGCGATTTCGGGAGCTCGCAACCGAGACCTTCCCTCGCGACCCGCATGACATATAGAGGGTTAGGCCAAACCGCTGATTGTTTTACACACAATACAATTATAATTGTTGTTATCATTATTAGTAGCAGCAGTATTATCATAATTATAATTATGCTGGCAGTGTTACTGTTATTGCTCTCATAATATGACCTTCTACCTCAGGAAAGAATAACACGGCTTATAACTTTCATAACGCTAAGGAGAAATTTTAGGATCATTTTATGATGCGGCCATAATTCATACAGAGGGTCCAACCATATCATTAGCCAATGGAATGTTTTGAATCGGTGAGTGATGAGGCGGGGCCAACACGGGGGCCAATCATTTTTCAGCTAGGGCTGGTGCCCCTGAAGCCCCGCCCCTGGTTACATCTGTTTTGTCATGATCTTGAGCAGATGCTAGTTCCTTTATCTGGACTGACTACCGAACTCTTGGGCAGATTCCTCTCTAAAAGTGCCTGTATGCTCGTCAAACGGACTATACCATCATGCCGACGGCCTCCGTGAGCTTCAGCCATTGCTGGTACTCTCAGCTACCCGCCCGAAGACCGAATTTGAGGAAAAAAAAAAAACACACAAAAGTGTAGCTGCCTGGCCCCCCATGAGAAGAATCGGGAAATGGCGCACGTACATCCCGCATTGTAAATGGCGCACGTATATCCCGCACTGTAAATGACGCACGTACATCCCGCACTGTAAATGGCGCACGTACATCCCGCACTGTAAATGGCGCACGTACATCCCGCACTGTAAATGGCGCACGTACATCCCGCACTGTAAATGGCGCACGTACATCCCCCCCTGCATGCTGCGAGAAAAGCTGATGTGCTGGTGCCTCTTCATGGCCACCGTGACGCGCTTTGCGCCTGACGGCGACGTCGACCGTGTGTCACTCTCCTGTTTAAATCACAGCTACGCCGAGGCCCCGCCGGTGCTGGACGATTTTAATTAAAGAGGCAGCGAAAAGTCAGCAAGAGAGGGAAAGGGAAATAGAGAGCGGGGAGGGAGGGAATGATACAGAAGGGGATCGTGGTGGAAAGCGGTCCCACAGAAGATGGGGGGAGGTTACAGGCTCATGGAAGGGGAGCAGCAAAGAGGAGGAAAAGGAGTCAAAGGACAGAGAAATGCTCTGACGACAATTTTGAGTTATTCTCTCTTACCCGTGTAAAGCACCTTGGGGCAACTCTGTTGCGAAAGGCGCTATATAAAAATAAATTGAATTGAACTACAGGCCTGCATCACCTCTGTAGGTAGTTCATTATATTTCTTTATTGTCGTCTTCCATTTTCCACGTGTAAAAGCAATGTGGCCTTTCCTCTCCCTCCAGCATCTCTCCCTCTATCATTCTACCTCATTGATTTTTCGCCATTATAAAAGTGCATAGGGCATTCTCCAGCTCTGATATTTAACACACGCTTACATGATGAGCAGAGTCACCTCCGTGCCTGACATAAACATTCATTCGTCATGACATTTACATGTAAATTACAGATAAAACATAGACAGGAACAATCATATAAATCCAAACGCTCAGATATATGTTCCCACTCATACGCACACACGCACCACACACATAAACACGGAAATGGCTCAATCGATTGCCTGCCCTTCGCATTCTGTCTATAGCGCTTTTCCGCAGGTGACGAGTGACTGCTGAACAGGATGCACAGAGTTCACTGTCAGGGGGGGGGGGCACACATACACCGGCTGCAGTGAAACCGCCGTCCACCTGCCACAGCCCAGTGGAGCTGCTGGCAAATCAGCTTCGCACTGCTTCATGAGCCATAATTTCTCCAAAAAGCCAAATCAATCACTGGGTGACGGGCAGCTTTAATGCGGGAGCCGAGTCACGGGCGCCGGGTTCGAGAGCTCAGGTCGCTGGCCTGCTTCTGCCAGCGCAACCCTGCCGTTTCCACAAGGATTCACAGCGTCGTTACTTTGGATTTCTGCTTCATTGTCGCAACGCTGATCCTTGTAGTTAAGGCAGAGCTGATTCACAGATGAAGCCGTGCATTGGGGGCTGTGGACGGACTTATCTTAATTGTCTCATTTGCCTAGGGGGAGAGTTCTTGGGCTGTTGCTGTTGCCTGCCCCCTCCAGCCCCCCCGGGAACCATCGCCCCCCCCCCCCACTCACCTTACCACTGTCTTTAACAGCCCCCTTTTGCCCCTCTCCGGTCATTGTTAATTAATAAGCAAGCTGTTCCTAGTTAGGGCCAGCTGAAGGCCCGCAATGTCTTCAGGTCCAGCACACCCCCAGCTCTTGACACTTCAGGCAGGGTCCCCGCCGGGCCGGATTCCAGTCTGGGCCGAACTCGGACACACACCCCAGTGCCCCCCTGCTCCTCCACGCTTAAGGCAGTGGCTCTCAATCCGGGTCACGGGGACCCCCAGACGGTCCACGGTTTTGCTCCCTCCCAGATCCCGGTAGAGATATGATTTGAGAAACACCAGCTTAAGGCACAAAAAAGGTGAATAATTTCTCTGCCCTACCTTAAAAAAAAAAATAAAAAATGAGAAAATGTACAAGAAAAGCTTTGTCACAGCGTAACTACTGTTTACACCCATATATGTGGCCTATACTGCATATAGTTTATTTTCAGTTAGGAAATTAAATGTACTACTGACAAGTATATCCATCCATGCAGCCATCCATCCATTTTCTATACCAAAACTTCCCGTTTAATATGCAGCTGATTTGGCCGCTTCTATATTTCAGAGCCATTTTGCTGTTCCAAATGTTTTGCTCCAGAAAGAAAAGTCTTTAAGTAGCTGCATTGCCACTTTTGACAGCAAACTAATCCCCCATAAGGCAGCGTCTTTCCCTCAAAGCGCAAACAAACCAAATCAATTAATTGTCCCTATTTGCAGGTGTTCAGCCTCCATGTCATTAAATGTTACCGCGAGATCCAGTTAAACTGATGACATCGATTCCATTACAATACAATCAAATCCACATTTGTGGCATTTCCAACGTTACCAAGGACATGAACAAAGGACTTGACGACTTAAACATATGGGAGATCGAAGTAGTCGAATCGCAGCGGGGTCATGTTGATCTGTCATCTCTGTGACCGTTGCTGCTGCTGCTGTGTTTTTATGAGAAATGGCTTTAAAAATCTACAGTTTCACTCTTTAATCTGCCGTTGGTTAACGACAATTTGAGTGTCTGGCGCACAGGCTGATTCACGGACAGACAGCTGGTGCTGTACTCTCGGAGCGAGATCCTAGGCTGAAGACTCAAAGGACAGAATGGCAGAATGTCATTTTTCACCACGACATGCCGTTATTTGGCACCAACCTTGACCACTGGGGAATACGACGAAGAATTATTTGACTTATATGGCGTTTCCCTTTAAATGACACGTTCACGCCATTCTGCCTCAAACGCATCACCGCACAGCCTGTTCCTTCGTCCCACACATATGGGCGACCTGCCCTCCTTCTCTCAGTCTTTGTCTCCATCTCAAGCTGACTCAAGCTCCCAGCCATGTTGCTACTCCTCAATCGCGCTCTTCCCGAACATCAGAGAGTCACAAACACCACCCGAGCCCCCGCCCCCGCTGGGCGGGACAGCTCAGGGACGGGCAAGGTGGCCAAGAAGCTGAGGGCCCCCGAAATCAAGCCCTTCTGCTGTCACCTTCGGGAAAGCCGGCATGGAACAGAAATCCGCCTCCATCTTGACAAAGTCAGAAATAAACCTTGAATATTTCAAACAGATACGGGTGGCGGATGGACTAATCTTCAGGATATCCCCGGTATTTGAAACAGCAAATGGTTTCCTGGTGGTGTAAGTCATACTCCTCCTGGAGGCCATGACAGGAATGAGGACAGAAACGGCAATGAAGCATTAGAGGAACTAATGGGGGTATTTATTCCGCGACCCCATACAGTGCCTCTGCTTTGCCACTTAAAAATCTCTGCTTGGCCAACTGACTGTAGAATTAAAACAGCGAGGGGGTGTAACAGTAGCTTCAGTGAGCACCAGGGGGAAAAACAGGAAATTATCAACCAACAAGAATGAGAACCGGCTGGCGGGGAGGCCCATCAGTGGTGGGCGTTATGTCTTCGAGCGTCACATGACCGATTTTCACCAAAGGTGCCGAAATAATCTATGACGCGAGATAAAGACACGGGATACGCATCCAGTCAGGGGCTGTCCTGTCTGCCCCGCCATCTTACTGGTTCGGAAACGCCCACAGATGAAGAACAACCCTGCTCAAGAAATCCTTTAGCTCAGTGTCTCTCAATCCGGGCCTCGGGGACCCACAGGCAGTCCATGGTTTTGCTCCCTCCCAGCTCCTTGCAAGACGACCCACATTTTTGCTCCCTTCCAGCTCCCGGAGGTGGGAGGGAGCAAAAACATGGACTGTCTGTGGGTCCCCGAGGCCCGGATTGGGAAACACTGCTTTAACTGATTAGTCGATATTTGTAAAGCCATGCAAATGAGCCCGATACTCGATACAGACTGGGCCTTGACACCTTCTCCAGTCCCCCACACGGCCATGCTGTCCATCGATCCATCGGCGACCTGCTAAACAGGGAAGCCGGGACTGCACAATCCCAGGGAACTCTGGGAGGACAGCGATATCCCCAACCGCAAGTGCAAAGAGTCATCCCCTCTTTCCAGGGTCTAAGGGCACACATGGATACGGAGGCACATTCAAGAGTAGTGTCAGAGGAAATTAGAGGGGCAGGGATGTTTGGGGCGGGGGGGCACACATTGCCTCTGACTGCCTCACCTTGTGAACTGCCAGCCCGGATCTCATCCCTGCTTCTCAGAACTGGCATGATGGAGTGACCAGGAACTCCGCTCTCCCTCTCATAGCCCCAGACAGAGGGAGGGTGAACTGATAACGGCTGGAGACGAGACAATAGCAAGGAGAGAAAAGAAGAGTGAGGGGGCTGAACTGCACAAACTGCGGAGTGTCACGTGTGTGAAAAGGAGAAGACAGTTAATCACACAGTTGGTTTGCCATTCTGGTTCATGTATTTCTTAAATGTAAGTGCAAGGTAAAAAATAACAGTGAAAGGTCAAAGAACATGGACATCAGACTGAGTATTAATATCTGTGAGTAGTGATTTACTTATGAGTCACTGAAAATATGTAACTGTGGACAGGACATGGAGGACAGACAATGATTTGGGTTGTTCCTTTTCAGTCATCACTCCTCAAATCTTTTCTCAGCGGGGATTCAAGATTCTTAGCTCCTCCCTTGTAACCAAACTCACAGCAGCTGAAGGAAACTGACGTATGGGGGAAGTTTCCGGAAGGTCCAAAGAAGCGGGTGGAACGGACAGGCTGTTTTCTCTTTCTTCTGCTGTCCTGCGTCCCCTCCTCGCCGTTTTATCTCATCGCCGCCGAATCTGTCGCGTCGGTCGGCTTGGTGCTTCACGGCGGCAGTCTGTAGGAAACAACAGTTGGGATTACTCATCATCCAGCGCATAACATTAAATGAATATTAAAAAAAAAAAAAAGTTGATATGAAAAAGGTCGGCAAACTCAAATCACGCTTCTATCAAGAGTCCGGCGTGACTCAGACTGAGTCAAACTGACACTTTACAGAAATGCTGTTCGAAATGGTCGTCCTGCACAGACGCTGCCTGTTTGCTTCGCCGATTAACATCGAGAATGATGCATTATCGTAGTCGCAAGCTCTTATGAACCGAAAAAAAAACAAAAACCCGGGCACTTATTTTCCTCCTCTCTGTCCCAAAGTGGGCGTCCACCTCTTTCTGTCTTTCCCTGCCCCCCCCCCCCCTTTTCTTGGAAGAGACGGAGGAGATCAAGGCTGTGTGAGAATAATTTTGATCCAGCCAGGCAATGTGATAAATTATGTATTCTACCCAGATTTATGTACAAAAGTCCCTCTCCTGCTCGCTCTAATTATCCAAAACTAGTTCAGTGGTGGTGTGATTAACTTCTAGTAACGTTAATTACACACACATCCACATCTGTTTATAGGGTCCCGTCTCTAAAATGGTATGAGCAAGTGGTGGGACTGATCTAGATCCTACTGGAAAAGACAGCACTCTAGGTAAATAAGTGATAAATTAAAAATGCAGATTAATAATGAACACTGGCCTCGAGGCAGCAGATTGTGGTTTCTATATTTTATAAATTGATAAGATCTTTTTCTATCACACACACACACATTAAGTTTTCAAACAGGGGTAAACGGCACACATAAGACACACAGCGGAAAACACAAGAAAGACGGCACAGCGAGGAGGAAGGTTACGGGGATGACGGTCAGCCCACAGTTTCCGAATGACAAGTGCTGAGGTTGTCACTCTGTCAGCGTTATCCTCCAAGAATGAATTATCAGACTGCGATACGGTCCCGTCAGCCACGGAGATAAACGGCATCTTCGGAGAACGAGGGCTTGGTTCCGGTTCGTAATTCACATTTGTGAAGGTGCAGCATGAGAGCTGGAGAGGAAAGGATGACGTTCGGCTTTGGCGGGGGAAGACAGGGAGGGCATTATACTCCACAGATCCTTACACTGATCTTTGAGATGTTAGGCCTCAAGACTCGAAAGTAGCCTTTTCACACAATGTCTTAATGCTATACACAGCGGGGCCGTGTGTGTGATATACACTGTAACTCTTCCAGAAGTTCCATAACAGAGGATGATTATGATGATTTAATCACTGAATGGAGGCACCTTTAAATTTATAGCTATATCAGAAAGATAAAATCCAATACCACCTACTTACTCGAGCGAATGTTAACTGAAAGGGTCAGAGTTCTACCCAGAATTCCAAAGAGCAGTCATGTGGTCTAAGCGCCCCCCCTTAGCAGCGCTCGGCATCGCTGCTATCTCCACACGGCCTGTCCGCGTGATTCACTAACAGAACAGCAAACCGCTTATGACAATTCAACCCCTTCAGGGGGCAGCGGAACGCGACAGCACTGTAAGAATTAACCTCTGAAATTAATTAATCACGTCACGTTGGACAGTCTAATTAAACGCTGATTATGAGTGATGGATTCGCTTTAATTCTGGCTCCACGTGCGGCATTCACACCTGAAGGCTCGTCCATCATCAGTGGACTCTAACTTGCCCAGTAAGGTCTCTGCTTTAAGGCGTTTGGCTCGTTTTAACTCCATCCCCGCGGACACCGGCGGACTCTCGCCGCCTGAGCGCCGCATCCCGATCCATTCCATTAACCACTGGGGTTTTCCATGGCTCCACGCTCCGAAGGTGTCCACTCCTCAGTCTGTTCCGGAGCTGGCAGGCTTAGCGAGTCGCTAACGAGGCAGAGTGGCAACTGTCCCCTGAGCCAATTCCAGAGCCCCTCGCCTTCCCCCTGCCGGGGGTAACGTACGTGGGCGGATTTGGTAAGAGGTGCATGTAAGAGATGCTCCATCACCCAACCCCCCCCAAATTTAAGCATTTAGTCAGATGACCGCATCACACAGCCGGCTGGAAAATGGGACACGGCGACAGGTCATCTGAAGCCACACAGACCTGGGGGACACATGAGGGACCGGGCCGGATGACGGTGGGGATCGCAGGGATCCCAAGCAGCTCCTGAGTAAACCACGAGCGTAACCTTGACCGCAACGACAGCAGAGGAGCGATTGCCCACCCACCCCCCAATCCTCTGCCTTGCCAAAATGACTGCTAGGTTAATTGGCGAGCATGCTGAGACTGGACGACTGAGCCACAGCAGAAGTGTGAAGGGGCGGGGGGTGGGGGGGGGTTATGGGCCGCACGCGAGCACTTCCCGGGAACGCAGATCGCGGGGCGACGGTGAGATTTGCGTCGAGCTCCGCAGGCTAGAGTGTGACAGGCAGAATGCCGGAAGGGAAGGCAGAAGCCTGAAAGCAGACATTTACACACACACACACACACACACACACACACATTACACTGAATTAACAATGCATCCAACAGCTGCACGGAGAGCCGGAATAGGTGTGGGAGAAGAGCGTAAGGGAAGGACGCTTCAGTATGACATATGAAGATGCAGGTTACATAAGCGCATGAAAGACAGGGAGAGACAGGCATCTGGAGCCCAGCTCTCTGACAGGCACATTTTTAGTAACAGGGAGATATGAAAACGGTCAGCAGGGAAGAAAAGGGGAAGTGTTTAGAGAAAGGAGACTGTGATTCAACAGCCCACCTACATTCAATCCCACCCTGGCACACACACACACACACACACACACGCACAGCCATACCCTGACATATACCAAAAGTAATATACTGACCCACACAAAAAAAACAAAAAAAAAAAAACAAAACGCAGCACTACTGTACTTGCACACTAATGCTAAGGGTAGCATTAAACCATTAAAGACAGACACACACATCTGCATACGAAACACACTCCGTGATGCTGTGGAGTGCAATATATAAAAAGATCATTACACCATGAACACACACATACAGCGCTCAAGCACGCGCATACACACACACACACACACACACACACACACACACACACTACATACAGCAGATGTATAGGAAGGAGGGAATCGGTACTCACCTAATTAACCCCTTCCATGCACAGCTTGCATTTCAGATGTCTCAAAAGAGAAAAGTATTACATCATATTTGTATCAATAGTAATGCTAAAAACTGAAAACGTGGTCCTTATTCCTGGATGGGAAAATTCCATTTAAAATTAATAGTAGAAAAAAGTATTAAAATCAGTTTTTAGTCCAGTAGAGAAAAATACAGTCCAGAATTGTAAAGATAATGACTGTTTCAAACAGGAATTCCTTCCCAGTCACACATATACTCCTCAAAAAATGAAACATACAAATAAAAAAAAAGACAATCCAAAACTCATTTAATCACAGTTATTAAACCAGAAGCTCTATAAAACCTCTCCGGCGAACTTCAAACACAGCTGAGGTGGAACATTTATTCTTAGCAGAAGAGGCAAAACATCAGCATAGAAACTATGAGGTGGCAGAATGAATTTCTGCACTTATCCAGCTACGTCCAAAATTCTGCCTCACACACACTAATTCTGGTACAAGTTTTTGGTCGGCTGGTAATCCAGTTAAAATTTTCTGCAAAATCCCCACCCTCCTATCCTCGTATTGCTAAAAATGATTTTTTAAAAACACTTACTCAAACACAAAAGCATTCCCCCCTTTAAATGAACCCAAATGAAACTGTGAAATGAATGGAGTTTCATGGAGGCGGAGACCACAATGCTTATTTATGATTATCTAATGTGAAAAAATAAATAAAATAAATAAAACAAAACAAATCAACGGATGAACCGGTTAAAGTCGATGGAGGAAAGAAATGGCTGTATTGAGATGAAGGGATGAAAAAGGGGTGACAGAGAGAAAGTATGAGGGGAGAAAAGAAAAAAAATCCTTTAAAAAGGTAAAAAAAATTCAGCGAGGGTTTTAGTCCATTCTATTTCAGTGCTTGTGCGTGTGTGTCAGAGGAAGAGTGAGAGAGCGCAAGAAAGAGAGAGAGAGAGAGAGAGAGAGCGCGAGGGAGAGAAGGGGAGGGAGAGAGAGAAAGGGAGGGAGAGAGGGGGAGAGAGAGAGAGGAGGGCACAGGTGACGGACCAGTAGAGTAGGAGAACAGACAGAGAGACAGTGGGGGAAATGGTGCTGCAGCAGATACTAAGAGAGCAGCTCGAGAAGCAGATTACAGGTTAGTGAGCATGGAATGACAACATGGCTGCCATCCTGGAAGGACCGGCTGGCTTGTGTCATATGAAAAGCCTTTGAAATGGCACTTTGGTCATGCTGAGATCGCGGCAGTGAAGGCCTCCGGGACTTTGATGGAGGGTCTGACTGAGCGGGAACGGTTGAAAGAAAGAGAGAAAGAGATGGAGAGGGGGGAGGAAATGAGGCACACGGCGGGCGGACTTTAATGAAAACACCGGCAAGACAGAAAGGAACAAGTGTCTGCTCTTAAAGTCACAGCATGAGAGGTAGTTCTTTGTGGCATGTCAGAGAGGAAGCTGGATAGAGCGATAGGAGGGAGGGGCGGAATTTATCATGGAAAACGGCGACACATGGACCGACTGAGCTGGGCAAACCAGAACTTCTCTCAGCCATACTTCAGAGCCCGTCGGCGATCGACTGGCGCAAATGTGCCGCACACACAGAAGCGCACACAGGAGTGACAGATGGAGAATAGAGTGCGAACGAGCCTACCTAAAAGGCTAATAAAGGATCCCAGAATGAGTGAGGCAGGGAATGGAGGGAGAAGAGCAGAGAGTGAAAGCCAGGATGCGGGTGACACCAATGGAGAGGTGGGCGTTTAAAAATAAAAAAAGGCAAGTCTCAGTTTAAATGGGCTGCATTTAGAAAGGGGTGTGGGAAAGTGGGGGGAGTAGAGAGAGAGGCGAGTCCAGGGATGAGGATGATGAGGGAAAGAGACGCAAAATCAAAAGTGTCCCCCCCCCTCTGCCCCCCCCCATCATCATGGTGCTCACAAAAAGAAAAAATTGTAGAGCAGGTAGATGGAGAAATAGATAAGGAGGCAGAGGAGGGAGAGTGTGAAGAGGTGAAGTGACACCGTGCCCTCGAGCAGCGCGATGAGGATGAAGAAGAAGAAGAAGCGGGACAGAAGTATGAATACTCCGGAGATTTCCGTTTTATTCTCAGGCGTTAACCCCCCCGCCCCTCACCGCCAAGAGCTTTCCGACGCCTCTTCAGAAAAAGCACAGACTCAGCCGTCAAAATGCAGAGATGTACAAGCGTCCATTCGGCTGTGAGATCTGTCACCGCAGAGCCTCATTGCAGGCGGCGTGCAGCAGCATCAGGACAGCGCCGGACACAGGGCTGGTACGCCATCGCTGCCCGTCTTACAAAAAAAAGCCCTGAGCCGAGAGCGTTCTCTGGATGCTCCCACCCACCTCAGGAAAAAAAAAGAGATGCAGTGAGGGAGGAAAGGAGGTGTGTCCTTTGAGAATATTTGCATTCTTTTTTTTTTGGGGGGGGGGGGTCAAAAAAGAGTGAAAGAGTGTGAGGATCTTTACAGAGTGTATATGTGTGTCCCCGAAGAATAAATTTATAGAACACAACACGGTCTGCTGCTAGAAATCACAGATTGCGTGTGATGCCTTCAGCAAGAGCAACTTTCTTGGAAATTCTCGCTTTTCCCACTGACCTCATGGGAGTCCAGTCTGCCATGTTCTCCACACCAGGTCAGAAGTGGTGCTTGGACAATTTGGTTTGTAATTCAAGCTAGTGTGTAAATACAGCCTTTCTGTCACTCTAACCGATTTGACAATCCTAGCACCCATACAATAGAGCCTAAAAACCTAAACACTGCTTAGTATGCTTGTATCCAGTAAAAAAAAAAAGCTTTTTATTTACACTTAAATAGTAATACTGGTTAGTGTTACCATGGCAACTTAAGGCTAAACTGGAATTCTTGCTATAAACTGCACATAGAGAAGACCAGACCTGCTTTAATCTATGCAGCCTTCGCCTTATGGCTGGTTCACAACATTGCCAGCCCATCAAGGACAGATATACCACAGACATACTAGAATGTATGTACACACCCAGTTTCTATTCCCATCTCCTCTCTGTCAACCTCCTCGCTTGCATCTCCCTCTCATGTTTTTCCTCCTCCGTCCCTTTCTCCTAGCAGTTTCCTCTCCGTCTCTCACTCCATCACCTCATCCGCATCTCATTCCCTCCTACAGCACCCTTTTACATATTTCCCATCCCTCTATGTCTTCATTCTGACTCCATACTCCCTTTTTTGATTCTGTTGCCAGTAGACTCTGCCAGAAAAACAATGCTTTATGTTATGTAATGTGAGAAAATGGACAACGGCAATAAGCAGCATTCCAAACACATTTGGGCCAAAGATGTACAACTACCCGAAAAGGAAACAAGGCATTAATAATTGTCAGCAACATAAATTGTGCAAATGCATTACATTGTTCTTCGATGCAACCTCAGTATTTTTCTGAAACTCTGGCAGCGACACCCAGTGGTTTTTGACGACTGTTGCTCATTTTTCATCCGTGAACACAAGCGATGGCTAATACTGCACCCATGTGGCCGGTACGTTGACGCAAGAACATGTACCTATTAATAATACAGGGGGATAATAAGGAACAAACAATATGTTGCATTTGTAATTTAAAAAAATGTATTACTAATGGACAACACTGATGTCTCACACTGGGTTTGGGGGTTTGAATCACATTGTGGGTGTGGAGTTTGCACCTTTGCCCCATGTTACCCAAGGGCCCGAAACAGTATTTCTCAGTTAGCTATGTTAACTTAACATGACTGTCCAATAAGTATGCTCCTTACCTGAACTCTCATTGGATGATGATGATGATTGTCCAATAAGTATGCTCCTTACCTGAACTCTCATTGGATGATGATGATGACTGTCCAATAGGAATGCTCCTTGCATAAACTCTTATTGGACGATGATGAAGTTTGTCCAATTGGAATGTTCCTTGCATAAACTCTTATTGGACGATGATGTAGTTTGTCCAATTGGAATGCTCCTTACCTAAACTCTTATTGGACGATGATGACTTTCCAATAGGAATGCTCCTTACCTAAGCTCTTATTGGACAATCATGGCTTATAGCTGGAATTAACCCAGCTAAACAGAAATCATAGAACAACCCCCAGTGTCTTAAGTAAGCAGCTGGATGACTGACAGATGTATCCTTAATAAGACAGCAGATGAATGAGAAAATTAACTTAACGTTTAGTTCAGCAACAACTGAAACCAAAGTTCATAACACAGCTAATCACTAAGCTACATTAACTTGCACTGAGCCTTGTCCACTTTTAAATACGATAAAATTAGCCTAATGCTAGACTTTAACGTGTTTTAAAATACATTTTTCCTCATTATTTACGAGTTAGGACAGTAAAAAATACATATGGTTTTTTGACTCAAGGATTGAGGAAAGGTCTTTTCCACTGCATATTCATACTAGGCCTATATTCCGCACAAGCTCGCCTTTTCGTGTACGTTATACGTGCACCACCCGCATGTAACACTATAAGAGAAATAAACAACATAACATCAAGGTTTACTTTAACTTATACCCAAATAAAAAGTTTACTTCGGTAATGAATTACTACACAGGATCGACTTTAACAGCAGTTAGTCTCCATGCAGTTACCCGCGAGGGAGACGATCGATCTTTAATGCCCCCTAATACTCATACCTTTAAATAACTGTTTTTAAGGACGAAATATCTCTCAGTATTACACTATGGTCAACACAGGCCTATCAATAAATGAATGTTCGGGTTAATCTTGAGCTCTGAAGCAGCTTTAGAAAATGCAGAGGCGCCAGGTCGCCACGAAACAAGGCAGGTGTAAATGCACACGATGTATATTTGCTATTTTTATAAACGATAAACATGGATGTGCATAATGTGCCCCTAATGCAAAACAAACCTGCAATTATAGTTCGTTTCAAGAATAAATTGTGTCTATAGTAGTGTCTTACCCAGACAGCTACGGTTGAAGCACGTTAAGCTACAGTATACTTAACTGATGTCCTAATGAACAGCATGACGAGGTTTTATTTTATAAGGTGTATAACGTGATGTGTTTGAAAATGCAGTTTGTCCAGACGACAAAAAAATTGTATTTTGTAATTTTTTAAGTATTAAGTCGGTAACATGTTTTAGGTTTGTCCTATCAGGTAATTCATTTCTTCTCTTCGTCGTTTCTTTATAGCAGTTTTCCGGCGGAAACGAACAGTGACGGTAGATTGATCCATCTCCACGTATTGGTGAAATTTTCATACTCACTCCTAAAACCATATAAGCCTAAAACAACAGACGAAGCGCTCGCCCCTATAATGCCGTTTAACTGACCATTCAGGCCGCCTTATTCAGCCTAAACAGCGATTTAACTAAAGGCCATCACGAAATGTTTAAAATTCGGGGCACATTGGTTCTGGTCATGGTGCAAAACCCAGCAGGAAATGTGCAGTAATAACTGCTGTTCAGAGCAGCTATTCATAAGCACTTATTCATAATATCATTGTACTTCGTAACACATTTGAATCATTATCTACAGGCTATTTAGACGTACTGCTGTTACTGAGCAAATCTCTTGTCAGATTATAAATTCTGTCTAGAAATGCCAATATGAGGATTTCCTTTGTTAGAAATGGTGTGATACATATAGGACTACAGTAGTACTTTATATCATACATGATTCAAATAGGGTGCACCTGTAACTGAATATTTAAAATTTAGCAAGCGGCCACATTTCATTAATATGCCAATGACTGATGTATTTCTCATTGTACTAAACAAACAGCCCATCTCGCCAGCATTTGTTACCCTATAAAACTTAAATCTTACTGTCTATAACGTAAGGAACATCTCCTCAAAAAACAGACATATTATCGTGTGTAATGTGGAAGCAGAATTCCAGTACTTGGGTCTATGAAAATCATTTTTACATCATATTTTTTACCATCCTACCATCTTGTGGCAAACATGAGTACTGCAGTTGAATTGAACCTAAGTTCCTGTACAGTGGATGGCAACATGCCGAGAGAAACATTGTTTCCCTAAGAGCAATGGACATTTTTAAAAGTGAATCTATGTTTGTGGAGTTTACTTACATTTGGATTGGAAAATATAATTAAATATTTAAAATATATATTAAATACACTGCCCGGCCAAAAAAAAGTCACCATTTGAATTTATATCAGCAAATGATATACAGCTCAGCAACGTTATGCAGCAATAGAGTAAAGTCAGCTGAGTACCTGAATCTACTGAATGGCCAGGTTACACCTCCATCCATCATCAATGGATTTTTTCTTCCCTGTTGGCATGGGCATATTCCAGGACAAGAATGCTAGGATTCACTGAGTTCGAATTGTCAAAGAGTGGTTCAGGGAGCATGAGGAATCATTTTCACGCGTGACTTGGTCACCACAGAGTTGAAGGTCTCTGGGATGTGCTGAAGGAGGCTTTATGGAGTGGTTCAACTCACTTTGTCAAAACAGGATCTCGGTGAGAAATGAATGCAAATCTGGATGAAAATAAAGCGTGAGATGTTGCATTAACTTGTGGAAACAATGCCATGACAAATGTGCGCCATAATCAAAGCTAAAGGCGGTCCAACGAAAAATTCAAATGGCAACTTTTTTTTTTTGGCCGGGCAGTTAGATGGATAGAAAAGCCCATTATCCGTTCTCACAATAAGGCCTAAGATGGGTAAAGTATGTCATCCCGCACTGTGTCTCGACGACTGGACTCAGCTGGACCACAGCTTCACCGTCCCATGTGCAAGGCACAGT